ATGTAAATTTACTAACCAAAAATATCTATTTTGCTTACTGAAATTGTGACATTCACCAGCGATCTAATCTTAAACACACAGATCGCAAAGAACAATAAATCTGCGATTGTATGGACTACAAGATCCAGTCGTGCACTGCACATACACACCAGATCCTAATCCCGGCTGATTGCTAACACACACAGCGGAAGCATTTGTATACACACTTCCGTTGTGAGTATCCACTTTCGAGAAATGCAATATTACTTTAAAACTATTTCTAACTTTTCTTTAACTTGTAATGTGTATACCCATTTTGTTTGTTTGTTGTGGTTTTTCTTTTTTAAAAACCATACTATGATTGTGTATTCTCTATTTTCACATAATAATAATGATATTTTTTTTTAGATGTCAAATTGGTGGGCGGGGAGAGGCAGCTATTTTTCATTTAAAGCCACAGAAAAAACAGCTACAGTATACTCAGACACCAAAATAGGCACATTGTGGAAGCTTTAATAAATATTCTGATAAATATTTTGTGCTGAAACTTTATAGACACATTCTGGAGTGAAATAGGTGACCTTTAAATAAAATATTTGATGAAAATAAATGATAGCATCTCTAGATAGATGACAGACAGACAGACAGACAGACAGACAGATAAGATAGATAGATAGATAGATAGATAGATAGATAGATAGATAGATAGATAGATAGATAGATAGATAGATAGATAGATAGATACATACATACATACATACATACATACATACATACATACATACATACATAGATAGATAGATAGATAGATAGATAGATAGATAGATAGATAGATAGATAGATAGATAGATAGATAGATAGATAGATAGATAGATAGATAGATAGATAGATAGATAGATAGATAGATAGATAGATAAATAGATCTAAAAGAATAAAATGATTGCTTCGCTCTTTTACAGTTTCTCTCTGCTGCTTGTTAGTTGTCAGTTGTCTAATAAATCTGGGTTCAAAAGGACTGGTTTAAAAAAATAGTAATAAATTGTTCCAGAAAACTCTAGGACTGTTTCTCCATCAAGAACCAAAAGCTGTTATTTTGTGGGATTCTGACATGACACTTTTGGCAATGATGGGGCCGAGATGAAATCTGATCAGACCAAAATATCTGACAAGGCTGTGCTGTTTATATGTAAATGTGATGTTTACATGTAAATGTGCGCCAAGAACATAAATTTAAGTAGAAACATATGAAATCGTTGCTGAGATGAGATGTTTCTGGATAAGTTATGTGAATAACTCATTCAACACAGTCCTCTAGCTTTTCTGTTTTTTACCAATCACATATTTTTGTAATCATCCATAAATTCTGTAAATTAGATACCATTTGAAAGCTAAAAAACTCAACTCATCCTGTGAAAGCTATTTTGAAATCAGACATCATGTTACCATGGAAATAGTATTTAAAAACATTTAGCGAGCTCCTCCTCCAGCTTAGGGTGACCAGATGTCCTGTTTTTCCTTAGACAGTGATGTATTTAAGCTCTATATTTAGTAGTGTTATGTTCCATATTTTACTCTTCCTAAGAATTCTTCATTGCTGAGCACAAGTAGTAGTTTTTGTCATTGTTTATATAATGGTATTTGAGAACAAAATTACCATTGCCCTCCAGTTTCCACATTGATCGAGTTCAAGGTTGGTCAGGCAGGACCTGGACCACCTGGTCTTAGAAATCTTGTCATCAAACTCATACTTGGCAGTGTCAAGTTTTATAATTCTGATTTTAGTGTGCTTCTTTATAATCAAATATTGAATATAAATATTTTTAGATGGAGCTGACTGTCAAGATTCCATATCTGGTGTCTATTTTATGACAAGTGTTATTGGAGCAAAAAAATCAGTTTTCTCCATGGGTTCTGGTTCTCCCCAACGTCTAAAGACATGCACTATAAGGTGAATTGAATACACTAAATTGGCTGTAGTGTATGAGTGTGAATATGAGAGTGTAAGAGTGTTTCCAGTGCTGGGTTTGAGCTGGAAGGGAATCCACTGTGTAAACCATATGCAGGATAAATTTATTCTACTCTGGTGACCCCTGATAAATAAAGGGACAAAGCCGAAGGAGAATAAATGAATGAATGAATAAATGAATGAATGAATATTTGGACCTGTTGGAGATTCAAAGTCTCACTGTGTGAAACTGGGCTGAACCCAGTCACCAGTTTATTGTATAATGTGAACAGTAGTGAATGAATGCTACCCTAGATAGTCACGAAGTGTTAAACTAACTGACAGATGACTTTGAACATTGTGCAGTTTAAACTTAACAACAGTGTAAAACAGAATACTTACTTTTGCCAGCAAAATGCTGTCTTATGGTCTGTTCACATATTGCATCTAAAAACACATGGAAAGCACAAGGCGCGTCACTTTGTTCCCTGATTTTCAACCAGCTTTGTGCTCACAGTCCCATTGCATCTGCCGTATCTAAGAAACCATCAACCGTTTTCTCAGTGGATGACAAATCACTGACAAACCATTGCTGCAGCTCTGATACAACTTTTATTTATAAAAAATGTGAAAGCCGATTGGTCAGTTCTTGTCATGTGACTTGTGGTACACTTTGCGGCATTCTGAAAAATTGAGATGTTATTAAACGCGAGCATGTCACGCCGCTTGTGTGTCACTCCCAATATATGCATAGAAACTGCACATCTCCACTGGAAACAACGAAATTGTGTGAACAAAAGACGACAAATGTGAACAGCCCCTTAAGCTGCTTTTTCACTTTGTGTTATAGTTCAGAATGGTCCAAAACGGCACGGCACATTACAGAAAATCCCTTTCTAGAACGCATTTTATCCCTTACAGACTAGGCATCCATTATATCTGAAGTTTAGTATAACTCGAAGCGGGATAATTACTTTAGTTGTGCTAAGAAACAAAAACAAGTAGTTTATTTAGTGTAATAAGTTTTTAAGTTCATTCATTCATTTTCTTTATTAATCTGGGGTCGCCACAACAGAATGAACTGCCAACTTATCCAGCACATGTTTTGCGCAGTAAATGCCCTTCCAGCTGCAACCCAGCACTGGGAAAAAGTTTTAAAGTTGATAAAATAAATTTTATTGTGAAACAATACAGCTAACCTTACCAACCAACCATAAATAAGTAAATAAATAAACTTCACTTTTGAGCTGTATGTTTAGAATGATGCTATCCAGAATGCATTTTATCTCTCAAAGACTCCGCATTAATTTTACCAGCAGTTTAGTATATTTAAGTGAGATAATCACTTTAGTTGTGCCATGATTTTCTGAAAAACATTTTTATTCTGGGTTTCCCCATCCAGCTTCACTGAATCCATTCCTTGGCTGCCAAAGAGAACAACTTCTGGACATCTTCTGACCATGATGCTACCATATCAGGTGTCTTTTTTTTTTTTTTGCAGTGGTTTAAAAGCTGTTTAGTCATGTGGACCAACAATACTGCGGTGGCTTCTGCTGAATATTTAAATAAAGCAGGTCTTGTCGCAAATCTAGTGATGCAAGTAGTGTTGATTGGATGAATAAATGAATAGTATGGTTTGCTTGGAACCTCACAAGAGGGGGTAGGCTACTAAAAAGTACCAAGTACTGGATATGAAACTCAGTGGAAAAGCCCCTAAATATTTGCTGTTCCAAACCATGCTGTACCATTCTGTACAAGAGCTTTTACAGAAGTCTTCAGAACACTACAACAAACAAAACACTACATTTGCTAGACCACCACTATGGAAACCCTTCAACTCAGGTCTTTAAATTACACTGACTGAATATGTTGTTTATTCAAATCTCTAGAGGTATATTGAAATACAACTTCTGAAAACAGCTAATAAAAAAACAGAAAAACAAAAATGGGCCAAAAATATAGACATTAGGGCATTCAATCTGTCCACTGGATTTTCTTCACATATGTCTAGCCTAAAAGGCTAGTTGATGCTACTGAGCCATGTTTTTTTTCACTCAGTGTTTTAAAAGGCAGTTGACGGATTAATCTAGAAAAAATGAGACATTAACTTATTAAAAGACAACACTGTAAAGTTAAACAATTAAGTGGACAAAAGAAAACAAGTAGACGTATTCGGTGTAATAAGTTTTTAAGTAAATAAAGGCCCTTTCATTGTGAAACAATACAGCTAACCTGGCTAACCATAAATAAATAAACTGTTCATATTTGAGCAGTATATTTAGAATGACCCTTTCCAGAACGCATTTTATGCCTCACAGTCTCACACACCTCGGGGTAAAAACAGCTATGCAGAGCTTTGCGGTTTTAACACGTGGCGAATGTCTGCAAGCTGTTTTGCTTTGCTGAAAAGAGGCAACACTGCTCTCTAGAGGATACATATCGTCATTGAAGGAGACAGTTGAAAAACACACGAAACGAACCTCACTTTAGCTTAATAGCACCATGCTAGCAATATAAATATCCTTTACTTCAGTGGTGTCCAAACCTTGTCCAATACGGCCACTGTATTCCGTCGTAATTGAAGACGCCTGAACAGGAAATGTCTTCAAATTAACAACAACACTGTCACACCGAGAAAAGTGTGCCAGGGGTTTTAATCGAGATCGATAATCGAGATTTTTAAGCTTACCAAATCTACTTTCAGCACATGTCAAGTTAAATGCCCTTTCAGAACTGTCCACCATTTGTACATTGCACGGTTTTGGGTAACCGTTGTGATGTCTTGCAAAACACTGCTCCAGGTGAGGCTCGAACTCACAACCTCGGCATTGCTCTGCATTGTACTGCTGTATAAGTACCGCGCGCTAACCGATTGCGCCACTGGAGCTTCGGCGGTTCATTGCAATAACACAGTTTATGACCAATACATCATTAGGAGAACTTCATGTTGTATGTATTTTCTGCTTCCTGTACGTTAGTCTATTTTGACTTTACCATGACTAAATAAACGTTACTTGACGTACCAATAATACCCACAAAACAGACAATTTCCAATGGAGACAGATTAGACTCAATAATAATTCATGCAAAAGACACGATTCGTAATGTTACGAAACTGCGCTAACGCTTTATTCATAATTCTTTCTGAAGCATTAATAATACTGTTTTCAATGCGATTACGTAATTTTGAAATCTAGCTTACAAATTTACCTGCTTTAGATTTAGAAACACATAAGTGAAAATGAGACATTTAAGCATCTGTGTGAAAACAAACCTGGAATGCGAGGTAGACAAAGCAATACATATAGATACATATAAGTTACAAAAGTTGCTTTGTAACATTAAAACAGCACGCATAGCTTACGTTATCCTCCAGAATACGAGTGCTTGTCTAATAAGCAAGTTTTCAACCTTGTTTTAAATGATACGTTTCTGTTTCTTGAGAAGACTTTATATATAGTGAAAACTGATTTACAAATGTATATTTTCGTTGTGTTAAAATGAAATATCACATGCGACATACAGTAGTTTCGACATATCTCAAACGCTTGCACATTTCCCATCAGTACAGTTCAAGCGCTGCCCTGAAATGACATCACAGAAACATGACAGAAAAAAAGACCTCGCCCTTTTTATTTCGTCCTCTTTCGTATAATCAGCATTTCGTATAGTCAAAATCCACATAGAAGATGTGAACAACACTACTTTCCGTTGTTTAAACCAAACAACAACTAATAACTTAATTAGAAGAAACGTAAAGATCACATGATGTTCCTGAACTGTTAGCCCACAGTGCTATCGTTGCCAAACGACAACTCCAGTTCCAGCCGCCTGGTGAGTCTAAATATTTAATTAACTTTTAAATGTTATTGCCTATTTATTTAATTATTTTAAACTATCAAGGACTAGATGGAAATAATTTGATTTTATTATACCTGAACTTATTTCACTGCCTAAATCGATATGTAAAGTTAAATAATTACATTATGTGGTGCCTAAACATTTGTGTTCGTGTCATATTCACTTGAACACAATAATAATAATAAAAACAAAACATCTGTAAATCTATTGTCTATTATGAATATTTGGATTTAAAGTAATTCCTTGTTTTATTTTGATCATGTTTTGAAGCTTGATACGATAATGGAACAGAAATCTCTTTGATTTCATAAACTATATATCCTTGTACATTCTGAAGATCAATTAACCACCTTAAAGGTGAATAAAAGATGGCTAACCTTTTAATGTCTGCATTTAGGTTACAAGATCACACCGCTTCTCATAATGAGTAACATCACCTCCTGCATGGAACCTCACTCCTTTATTTCTTCCATTTTAAAGCCCATTTTCATATTGGAGTTAATTTTGGGGTTGCCTGGAAATGTGTTTGCTCTGTGGATTTTATTTTTCAAGTCTCCATGGAAAGCCTGCAATGTGTATTTCTTCAGCCTGGTAATAGCTGACCTCCTACTCCTCACTGGGATGCCTTTCCGCATCGATTATTTTTTTCGTGGTGAAGACTGGATATTTGGCGAATCCATTTGCCGCCTTGTTTTATATGTCATATCAGTAAACTCCTCAGCAAGCGTGGCTTTCATGACAATTTTAGCTGTGGACCGCTTCTTCAGGATCCTTTACCCACACCACCGTATTTGTCGAATGAATGTGAAACAAGGATTAATGTTGTCTAGCATGACTTGGGTGATTGTTCTTCTCCTTCGTCTTCCATCTGCCCTCAGCCCGGTCCTTACATCACACAAAAACTCTTCAAAGCTCACATGCCACAGTTTCCTCTCATGGACCTCACCATCAGTTCAGATGAGAATATATAATTCAGTACAGCTAATAGAAGTCCTGGTGGCTTTCACCTTGGTGGTTTTTTGCTTGGTGCGTGTTTTCTCTAACACCAACATTCGGCAGTCTAAGGGACCGCACCGCAGGGTGAAGAGGGCTGTGAGATTGCTTTTCATTTTTGTGATCATCTTTGTTCTCTGTTTTCTACCTACGGTCATCTTTGGCAACTTCCTTCAAGTGTTTCCTTGCTCTGAATCCCTCATTGTGTGTCTCCATGCCTCTTTAGCTTTATCCTACATGAACAGTGCACTGGATCCAGTCATCTACTGCCACATTAACGCTTGGTTTCGTGACACCCTGAAAGGCAAATCCAACTCATTGGGAATGACGAAGTTTAAGATGAGTGCGAAGACAAACAAAAAACCTTGATCTCTTTGAGGAACTGAGGAAATTTAAGCATGTTTAACTTAAGCACACATGATACTTTTCTTTTTATGTGTAATATACATGCGTACAGCATGTCACAGGATTATTCATGAAATGTTGTTTATATAACTCCACGTGTGGATTAAATTAATTAATTTATTTGAGACATTTCTTTATCTAAAGTAGAACTGAAAACTCATCCATCTTTCTAAAGCTTCCCATAATTTTGACATTTTGTTTGTCTATATAATAAAAGTCAGCTTATTTTGTCAGCAAATAGGTGTTGACACCAGAGATTTTAAAGTGAGCGGATCTAAAGACTATAGAACACACAAGACATGTCACTTGTTTAGCCAATCATCGATTGCTATAGACTGACGACTCTCCGGGGAGACGCTTGGATCAGACATGTGCTTTCACTGGAATCTCAACGAATACTTGCTTCATTCATTCATTTTCTTTTTGGCTTAGTTGCTTTCGAATACTTGCTTCACAGATAAAATAAAGATCCAAATAAAGCTTAAAATTTGTACTTTAAATGAACCAAGTGCACCTAAAAACAAAAAAAGTTTTTTTGGTTTTGTAATCTGCATTAAACGAACATGAGGTACAGTCAGTTCTGTCAAATGCACATCACATGACTGCAACTACTCAAACGCCCACAAACTTGTTAACAGAGTCGCTGTAATTTCTAGAGGAGATTCGCCATCAAGACCAAGTTGTGGATTACTTCAGAAGAGCAGCGCGATCAGATGATCATTACCCAGAGGATGATAATGTGTAGAATAGATATAAAAGAGGTTGGTGTTGTGATCTCGTTCCTTTTGAGTGTGATTGCGCATTAGCTCTGGCAACCTGAAAATGTGCTTATTCCATAAGCTAGGCAAACAGTTTTGTTGAATTTGATGTTTCCCCATTCACACAGAATGTTCGAGAACACTGTCTGAGAGGCGTTTCAAAGATGGCCGCTGAGTGAAATGACTTTGCTTTAAAGGGACTTTGGTGGACTTTACTGGACTAAGTTGACTTCTGAAATCTGATAAACTCTGATAGCCTTGTGTTGCAAAATACAGTGAGCATATTTGAAGCAGAAACCAAATAACATCAAGTACATGTAAACCAGGGTCAACCAACCTGCATCATCCTGCAGATTTCAGTAGAAAGAAAACCGTATTTATCATTTAAAGTGCATTTAGAAACAGTACAGTTCCCCATCCCATTTCCTCACAGTGGTTTGGCCCTCTACGTGCTTTCCCAGCTCATCACACATACTCTACACACACACACACACACACACACACACACACACACACACACACACACACACACACACACACACACACACACACACACACACACACACACACACACACAGAAGTCAGATGTGCGGATGCGGCTGAGTTAATGTAGACAATCAGTAAGTAGGGGATTTTATTTACCTTAAACAAAGCGATTCTCTTCAATGTAGTTAATACAGACTCATTCATAAATTATTTGCGGCAAAAATGCTGATTATTGCTGTAATTGTCCAGGAATCTGCTGTATTAGCGATTAAAATTACTTATCTAGTTAAAGTTAGCTTGTTGCAAAGTGCACTGCAACTTAACATGCCAAAGCCGTTTCCCATGCATTGTTTCATTTGTGACGACTTGGCATAATGTTAACTTAACATTAACGACCACAAATAGCATATCATTTACCTGTGTATTTGCTAAATGAGCACTGTGCTACGTCCAAACTAACCCCACTGTATTTTTTGTATAATAAATTTCTATTCTGTTCTTAAGTGAAATAATTAATTTGAAATCAAAATGTTACCCTTTTTAATTCCTTGTTTTTATTGTTGTGATTATTTTTATGATAGTTTTGTGTTCTTTATGTAAAGCCCTTTAAATTGCCATTGTGTTTAAAATGTGCTACAGCATGAATAAACTTGTCCTGCAGTGTCATGCATTGGATAAAATGACAGAGAAAATGGACATAAGATCATTTTTCAGTGCAGCTAAATGCCAATTACAAAAAGTTTACATATTAAGGCAACTTGGCTTTCAGAATGAGTGCTTATGAAAATACTAATGTCACAATATTAATAACAGGCAGAGGAGAAAGAAATTATAAAGGATCATGCAGAGCAGGGTCAGTCAGATGTACAGTGTCAGGTAAGGGTGTTGTGCTTTATTAAAGGGATAATGACAATTCTTTTGGGGTGAACAGTTTTTTTAATGTTTTTTGAGTTGTGGCCATTTAGCAGATTTTACAGGCTCACTGATTTACAATATGATCGATCATTTTAATAAGTAAACAGGTTACTTATTATGAGTATGGAAAATGTCTTTTCCTGCATTCTGCTTCAGGAGTCAGTCTGTTGACTGTAAACAACACAACAAACAATGTAATAAATAGTTTTGAAGAAAGATTCGCTTTGTCATTGAACCTGAGAAAAACTGATAATAACCATAATGTAGTCTCCATGCTGTAATAATGATAGAACCATTTTTAATTGCGGGGACATATCTTTATAAGTACTATTTGATGGTAGTATTTGTGTCCCCTTCAAAAAATTGCTTATAAGAATAAATCAGATTTACGCCCATGGTTAAAGCTGAACTCTGCAGGAAGGTAGATCTCCAGGAACAGGGTTGAAAACCTGATGTAAACAGTACACACATGGACTTTGTGCCATGTTTTGTTTTGTAGCCAAACATTTGTAAACCGTTCACCACATATTTATGTAAAGCAGGTGTTCTTTATTCAAAAAGTCCAATGTAATTTCAAAACATTTGTGGCCTGTTGCATGAAGCTAGCAGAGCTAACTCTAAGTTGCGAGACAGGATAAAACCAAACAAGTACAACCCTCTTAAGGGGCACCTATGATGAAAATCAATTTTTATAAGCTGTTTAAACAGAACTGTGTGTGGATAAAGTGTGTCCACTGTCATATTGGAGTGATATAACCCAACCAGTCTTTTTTTTAATTTCCTGACATTAAAATAGGACTCAAATCCCAGTGATTTTGAGGCCCACTGCAACTCGACGTAGGAGTGTGGTTTTCCTCACCCACTGAATTGATTTACAGGTGCCATGTTTCTATAATAACATGTATACACATGTCCAGAAAACTTAGTTCTTGCAAATAAACTGGGATTAAAATATTTGTTACAACTCTCTGTGATTTTATAAGTTTAAAACATTTTTAAAACAGCATGTTTGTAACAGTAAAATCTTAATCTTATCAATATAATAACCACCGCTGCATGGTGTCAGTAAATATGTGTGTGTGTTTACTGCAAACAGCATTTGTGTGCGACTCATCATTTCAGAAAGGCTTGAATAAACTCCACCACAAATATATTAAATAAACTTACTTGGTATTTTTGACTAATAATGAGCTGTATTTCAGCTTCATCCAAGTCTGTAGCTGTTTCTCAATATGCATTCTTCAGTGTTGTTGCGTCCTCGTGTTCTCGTGTAACGTAATCATCAACTGCCAACATTCAGTTCCAAAACTCAAGGAAGACTGAGGACACATGAAAGTTCCTGCATGTGTTCTTGGTATCGAGTAAGCACCGACGGTGCCGATGCAGACTTGAGCACTAAACCCGCTCTAGAAGTCCCAGAAGTCATTGTGACTGAATAAAGGAGGTAGGAAGCACAGCATTATATACCTGTTTATTATTAGATCATTATAAGATTATAATCTTATGTTTTTTAATGCAAGTGTGATTGGTCATGCTTTTTTACAATCTATACACAGATTAAAACTTTCTCTGAAGCAGGGTCTTCATGTAGTGCAAGTCATCATGGCGACAAAACCCAAGCAAGACCAACCTGCACTGTTGAGCCTAAAATTTATTTTAAGCCTCAAAATAAATGCAAACTTACCCCGGTAAAACCTTAACTGGCTTTGTTCAACATGAAGCTTAACCAGTAGAAAATGGATGTCAGGTATGGTGATGTCTATAGTGTACATGAAGGATGATTGAATACCAATCAAGGGCTGTTTTACAAAGGGGACACATTTGAAAATCTGCACTCATCCACAGTATCTTATTACTGTTGTGAACATTCACCATGCATAATTTTTCTTCTTTTTTTATAAAGAAACAATTGTGTGTCACATTTCATTTGGAGGACCATCTTAATATGTAACCTTATGTAGCCTCACGACTGCTTTGGATCCTATTGTCATTCATTGTTTTGTTTGTGTGTGTGTGTGTGTGTGTGTGTGTGTGTTTTGTATTCTACATCAGAAGAAAGTCAAAGTGGTTTAAAACGATGATTTGAACTTCATGTGAACTGTCCCTTTAAGACTCCTGAATGCATGAATGATGCTTTTGTCATCGAAATGGCACACTATACCACTCTCAGTCATTTTTCTGATTGTATTTGTCACCAACATGCTATCTTCATTGTAATCTTCATACTATTACACAAACAATCTGTTCTGCGCTTTTTTATTTAGCATATTCCAATAATTATGTGACATACAATGAAATACAACATAAATGTATGAGGCATAGAAAACAAAATAGCTTGTTTTACTGTCACATGCTATATACACGGCCTGAACACTGAATATTTCCATAGCTGAATTTCAATCATGACTTCTGTAAAAGGGTCAATTTCAGATTTAAATTGCTTAAAGGATTAGTTCAACAAAAAAAAATATATTCTATCATTAAAAATTACACAACCTCATGCCATTCCAAACCCCTGAGGCCTTCAGAGGATCTTCAGAACACAAACGAAGATATTTTAGATGAAATCCTAGAGCTCTTTCAATCTTCATAGGCAGCAAGTGTACCAAAACACTGTCGAAACATTCACTGTAAAAAATGCAGGGTTCCACATAATTATTTTATGTTGTCTCAACACAAAGTTAACTTAATTGTTTTTACAAATTTAGGTCGATTGAACATAAAACAATTCAGTTATTCCTAAAAAAACTTAAGAATTGTGTAATTCAGCTCATTTTAAATAAGTAGTTTGAACACGCAGCACTTTTTTTTTTAAGTGTTTAATGTGACTTCAGTGGTTCAACCATAATTTTAGGAAGCTACGAGAATACTTTTGTGCATGCAATAAATAAATAATCAACAGCATAGTTCAGAATAAAGCTATAACGATAAATATTTAGAGAAATAATACATTTGGGATCACATTTAGATTTTTTTTTTCCAGCTAATAAGTGATAAAACACTGACAGACAGTCAAAATCCATTGACATAGAAAGGTCTCGCGCAATTTAAAGCTACATATGATGTTATGGAGTAGCTCACTGCTTGATGTTAAACGATTCTTGAAAACAATCAGTTATACCATGGTTTAAAATGTTAAAGTAGTAGTGAGAAAACGCGAGATAACGACCCTTCCATAGTTTTGAATATAAATCTTTGATATATTCTTGCTTACTGAACACATAAAGGTTTAACAACTGAAAAGGCACAGAAAAAAAGACTAGAACACATGAAAAGGAGTATAATGAGGCTCAAGAAATGAAGAGGATTCTGATAACACAAAGTAAAAAAGACAGAGGAAGATGACCACAGTGAACCCACAAAAACAACTGAGATGAACCCCAGCAAGATGTGCTATAAGCCATTAAAGAAATGGACAATAGATTTGCAAATAAAATGACGTTATGTCAGCAGTCAGAGAGAAGAATGCGTAAGGGAGGCAGAGGAATGCATTTAATCACAAGTTAAGAAATTGATGGACAAGGTTGACAAAATGAAAAACAGGAATAAAAAGCACCTCAGATTTACAGTAAAGTTTCGAAATAGTTTTTCTTTGAAAAATGTTGGGGAAAATCAACATTTATAGATTTTATTCCTCTACACTGAGTGCTATAGCTAAGTTTTCTGATTGGTTCGATAAATTAAATGAGCTGGATTCACTGGTCAGATGCACTACAAACTTAGCACACTGATGACATCTGCTTGTTACAAGGCAGTAATGCAAAAAGAAGAGCAAAAAAAGAAAAGAAACTAAAACTAAATCATTTGCTGGTGTGGACACAACTATAGTTATCATTATTGGCCCTATCATACACCCGGCGCAATAAGGCACAAAAAGTGTTCGGCGTGATTTGTTGCTGTTGTCAGACCAGCGCAACCCTAATTTTCACATTTTGTGCCACGTTGTTTAAATAGTAAATCCATTTACACCATTTTATGGACTCATGGGTGTTCTAGTCTAAAAAGGAGACGTGTTAAGGCGCATTGCAATTGTGGGCTTTTTTCAGTTTACTCATGACAATTTGCATTTCTATAATGTTATTAATATTATATGCATATTAATATTTGCTTTAATAAAAACAAGTTTAGATTTGTCCAGCTTTTCAGAGACGTACAGTATGTATCACCATATGGGGCTTAGGAATAGGACATGTGTTTGGATATAACTTGAACACACTTCATTAATATTGTTTGTTTATTTGTTTGCTGGAAATTAGAACTGAATTCAAAAATGGCTTTGAAACATCTTTGCGCTTAACAAACAAAATGAATTATGTAGGCTAATGGATGTCTTCATCGGAGTGCGGAACACCATTTCCTGACTCTATGAAAATGAAGGAGTAGAGTAAAAGTAAAATAAAGAGAAAGTAAAGAGGCTGAATGAAGAAGCCTTGTTCTTTATCCTTGCGCTGCAGATGGTGTCTTTAACTGTTTTCTTGCTAGTGAAGCTTTCAGTTTTTCCTTTTACAAAGTCTACCATGTAAATAGCAAATGCAACATGGTGCGACACAACGGACTCTTATAGGGAATGGGGGCTGAGAATCTAATTGGTTGAATGCAGGTTATGTTCAGAACACACCCATAACCAGGGCCGGAGTGGGACTCATTTTCAGCCCTGGAGTTTCAAGCCAGACCGGCCCACCTCAGTTCACGACTGATTCCAATTCAGTTTCTAATTTCACTATCACGTCTTTTTCAAGAAAACAGCTGCTT